AATTTAATTGGTTTCAATGTTGTCCTTCCGTCAAAATTTTCGTTAACGTCGTTTGGTCAATTTCGACGTGGCGAAAAAATTAAATTTCATAAGTGTAATAAATCCTTACGTGGATTTCCAACTCCTTACGTGGATTTCCAACGTGGAAAGAGTTGAATTTCAGAAAACCGCGAGAGAGAAGAGAAAACCCTAAACAGAGAAGTGTGATTGGTTCATTGGTTTGTTTGGAGATAAATTCTTTGTTAGGGTTTTGAAGAAGAAGAAGAAGGCGCATGCATTGGTGATTGATTTGAAGAAGAAGAAGCGACGTTTGTGTGTTCTTCTAATCGGGTAAGTCCTTTGTTTAGGGTCTTTTTGATTAAAGGGTCTTCTTGGGTTCACTTTAGGGCTACGGGTAAGAATGGGCCTGGCTTATGAGTTGCGTTTTGATGTTTATTGGAAAGATTTTGCTTTTGGTGTGGTCCCAAAGACTGGGTTCGTTGCTTTTGGTGTGGTCCCAAACACTGGGTTTGTTGCTTTTGGTGTGGTCCCAAAGAATGGGTTGGTTTCATGTTGTTTGTGTGGCCCCGAAAAATGTTGTCGTGTGTTGTGCATATATTGGCTCCACTGAGTTGTACATTGTTGAGCCGTATAAATGCATATGTTGGGCCAGTGACACATCAAACCCTAATTTATTTGCATATGTTGGCCCAATAATGTTCCTTTGTTGCATAGATTGGCCCAATAATGTTCCTATTTTGACTATGTTGGTCCACAAAAGTGTTGCTTGTTATGTATGCATATTTATGTTATGAATTTGTTTATAATATTTCATTGTTTATATTAATTAAAAAGCTATGTCTTATTTTTTAATTAAATAAATTTATATATTTGGAAAAAATGTATTACTACAACAGGTTAATATTAAAATGTGTATGTTGTGAATTTTTATAGGAGTTGCTGATATGGATTCATATTTTGAAGTAGTTGTCCATCATGGGGGGAAGTTTATAAATAAAGGGAAGTTGGATTATGTGGGTGATGATTCGACATGGTCCTGTGACCCTGATAAATGGTCTTACTTTGAAATATTGGGTATTTTAAAGGAAATGGGATATATTATAGTGGATAAAATGTGGTATTTTGTGGGTGGGCCAGATTTTGAGAATGGGCTTAAATTGTTGTATGATGATAATGGGGCCATGGAAATGATAAAGATAGCAAGAAAGTTTGGAAATGTTAGATTATATGTTGAACATCCAACATCTCAACCTGAAATTTTAGAAAGTTTACCATTAGTTCTTGATGTAAGTAATGATGGGCCTGTGCCTACTAATAGTGGGGTTGGAAATCATGGGCCTGTGGCTGATGACAATGGGCTTGGGTCTTTTGTTGATCATGAGACTGAGGTAGGGGGTGGTGTTGCTGATGAGAGTGTGGTAGAGGGTGGTGTTGCTGATGAGAGTGTGCCAAATGGTGGGGTTGTTGATGAGTCTGGGGGTAGGGTTGAGAGTTTGCATGAGACTGTTGTTTCTGACAAAGAAATTGAAGATAGTTATCCTTCAGTACATTTGGGTGATACTGATGAAGAAGAATTTTCAGATATTGAATTATTTGAGGTACCTGTTAAAGGTAGACAGAATTCTTCAGTTGATAGGTTTGAAGGACCTTTGGAAGTAAGACAGGCTAGTAATAGTGATGACTTAGATAGTTTGAATGAATTTGAAATACCTGTCCCAGAACCAGTACCTGAACAACCTTGTTGCAGCAGTAAGAAGAGAGGTAGGCCTAAGAAGACTGTTGAGGGTACTATAGACCCTACAGATGACGATATTGATGGGTTTGCTAATGATGATTCAGATGATGATTTAGATGATGACTTGGTCCAACCATACAACTGTGGAGTAGATGAAAAAACCCATTCCATGGGTAGGGGTATTTCTGAAGAAGAATATGAATCGGAAGAATTTGTAAGTGGCCCAGATGACAGTAGTGATGAAGAGTATACAATTGGTTCAAGTAAGTATCCATGTTTTAATATGCCTAGCAATATGGAAGATTATAAATGGGAACTGGGCATGTATTTTGTGACTAGAGAACAGTTTAAAGAGGCAATTTCAACATATGTTGTTCATTCGGGGAGAAATTTAAAATATCAAAAAAATGATAAAAGAAGGATAAGGGTGATATGCAAACAAGGATGTCCATGGGTAGCATATTGTGCCAAACTAGCTTATGAATAAAGTTGGCAACTAAGAAAGATTATTGATAAACATACATGTAGTAGGGAGCACAACGTGACTTTGTTGAGTTCTAAATGGTTAAGTCACAAACTTAAAACAACTATGAAGGAGAATCCAAACCTAAAATTGAATGATATCAGAGAAAGAGTGCAGAGAAAATGGAATGCTAGCATCTCTAAGGCCATGGCATGTAGGGCTAGGAAGGTTGCAAAGAGTTATGTTGAAGGGTCTTTCAAAGAACAATTCAAGAGGATTTATGACTACAGTCATGAGCTAATCAGATCTAATCCAGGTTCAACAGTCAAGGTGAAGGTTGATGGCAATGAAGATTGTGACATTAATGTTGAAGGGCCTAGTAGAGTACTTCCAACCTTTCAAAGAATGTATATCTGTTTTCAAGGTTGCAAAGAAAGTTTCTTAAAGTGTAGACCCATAATAGGGTTAGATGGATGTTTTCTAAAGGGTTATTATGGTGGCCAAATATTAGCAGCAGTTGGAAGAGATCCAAATGAGCAAATGCTGCCAATATGTTTTGCAGTTGTTGAAGGTGAGACTAAAGAGTAATTTGAGCAAATGATGGATACCAAGGTATATTTCACATGGTTTGAATTTTTTAGATTTGAATTGTTTAGATTAACCCGTTATTGGTTTATAATGAGTTAACATATTATTTTCAGTTGGGCTGGAGACCAAGTCTTTGAGGTAAAAAATGTCAACTTAATAGGAGATAAATATACTATCAACTTGCAAGTGCAGGAATGCAGCTGTAGAAAATGGATGTTGACTGGGTTGCCCTGCTGCCATGCTATATCATGTATGAAGTATATGAATTTGGATCCAAAGGATTTTGTGCCAGAATATTACAGGAGGGCAACATATGAAGCTGTATATCAATCAATGATATATCCAGTAAATGGTCAGCAACTCTGGACCAAGACATGGTGCCCTAATGTTCTTCCACCGCCATGTAAGAAAATGCCAGGACGACCTAAGAAAAGAAGGAATTTGGAGCCATGGGAACTGAAGAAGGATGACACTGAATTGAGAAGAAGGGGAAGTAGGAGAAAGTGCAGTAGGTGCAAGAGTTTTGGCCATAACAAATCAACCTGTAAGAATAACCCAATTCAACCCAACCATCCATCTGAACCCACCCAACCATCTCAACCCACCCAACCATCTGAACCCACCCAACCATCTGAGCCCACCCAAGTATCTCAGCCCACCCAACCATCTGAACCCACCCAACCATCTGAGCCCACCCTGGTATCTCAACCCACACAAACATCTGAGCCCAGCCAACCCTGTCATCCGATCAGGCAAAAGTTAAAGACTAGGAAAGCACGACCACAATGGAAACCATGACAAAGTTGAACATTGTTGTTTGTTGCTTTTATTTTTTTGGGTTTAAAACTTTGTGTTTTAGACTATATTGGTGATATATGATGTTTAGCCTCTTTTGAGATTATGTTTTGGATGACTAAGGACTAATGGTCATCATATGACAATACTTAATATAGGAGACTATTATTATTGTGATTTACAACAGTTGGCTACTTATATTTCAACTAATGCAATACGCTATTATTATCATCATTTTTTTATTCACATAGTTTTTACAAATGCAAGAATAACACAATGGCAAAGAATATGACAAAGTGTGGTAAATGACACTATTAACTAAGTCCAGTCCGTATTAAAGCTGGAGACCAATCATCCTTAATAAATGGTAAAAGCTGGAGACACATAACTATCTGACCAGGATTGATTTCGTTTAGACTTTTTAATATAGAACATAGTCTCAATTTGGAGCAATTCAATGCTATCTTTGGATTTCAATCTGGGGGGGGGGGGACTACTTTCTTGATCATATCCAGGACTTCTTCCACCTGGACTAGATCTGTCACTATAACGTTCATATGCATCCTCATAGGGAGGGCTTTTAGATCCTCCTCCTTTATAGAAATCATCTTTGTCACCTACTTTGACTCTTGGTGGTTTGTCATTGGGCTTTTCTCCAGTAAATCTTCTATCCACATAAACATGCTTAATAAAGTCTTGAAACCTGTCAACATTACTGCTATCGGGGAAAGAATGACGCTGTGCATCCCATTCTTTAAAATATATTTATTTTGCACGCTGATTTCCTCCTTCTTGAAGTGCACTAACTTCTTGTGAAGTAAACTTAGCCATTGAAACTTACTTTACTCGATGAGTGAATTTCTGATGTATTCCACTACAGTTCGTGCAAACAAACATCCAGAAATTTGTGCACACATATTGTGGTCCCAGATTGTTGCAGTTAATGCATCTGCGATTAGGTTCAAGCTTGAGAAGACCTCGAATCACGCGCTCATTCTTCTCATCTTCCTTCAGGCGACTCGCCATCTCCTCCGCTACTTCAATTCCGCAGTACAGAGAAAACAGTTGGGGGACTTGAATTGAAGATAGGAGAGAGAGGTAGATAATTCACCGTCAAAAGACCTTTTCAAACTTCATTAATTACTATTATAGATATATATATATATATCATATATTCATATATCATATTTTCAGTTTGCATGGAAAGGCAAACGAGTTATGAAGGACAGCAACCAAACAGTCTCTGCTCTGCCTTGACTGTTTGGCAGAAGCAGGTAGCACCTTTTTTCCTCTCTTAACCCTACCCAATTTGACGTCCCAACGTTTCATCAACACATTCACCCTCTTCCTCATTTGCCACGTGGATAAGCTGACGTGGGACAATCAAACTTTCCTACATCCCCGTCCGGTCACATACCTTAACGTCACAGCCCTCACACAAAACGCCAAATAACGAAGCATCGTTCCGAATCAACGACTCCCATTGCAGCTGTGATCACAACATCTACCCGCCCTCGTCAAGTTAGCATCTTCCTCTCCTTTCAGTTTTCGGCAATTAAAAGATATCGTAAATTGTGTTTTCCAACTGCCAAAGCAAAATTCCGTTGTTTTTTCCGATTGCTCCTCCTTTACTTGCGTTCTAACTCCCCGCAAAATATCCACCTCGATTTTCCCGTAAAACGAAGAAAATGTTGAACGCAGGTTTGAACTCTCTCTCCTAAATTTTCCTTCCATGCTTTCTGTGAGTCATTGCCATCGTTCTTTGTTTCTTATTGCTGCTGCAATTTCCGTTTCGTCGAATGGCGTATTTCCTTAAACCGTATGCATATACTCGAGGTCTAGGGTTTTGGCCTGGTTTTCCTCTCCTTTTCTCCTATCTTAAACGCCACAACAAAATGTAGTGTTTCATTATAAATCGTCGGTGAATTGCGACTTTGCTATTTCTGAATGGACCGTTATTAACTTGGATTGAGAATCGATGATTGTTGCTGAATTCCTTGTCGGTTAAATGCATTTTGTCAATGAAATGTGAAAAGAAAGGTTGCTTATAGAGTAGTCTTATGCGTTAATCTTCGAATTTTTTTAACGTTGCTTTGCTGGAGTATGTACTTGATTATCGCTTCGTTGCTTATGTCATAAACTGCATTGCAATTATGTGTTATGAAACATAGGAGAGAGGGGGAGGAAGTGGACTAAAATATGGTTGTAGTCTTAGAAAAAATAAGTATTACTATTATCATACTTTATAATTTGATGTATTTCATCTAGTACTCTTAGCAGTTGTGAATATTAAGTTACTTAACTTTGAGAAATAAGTGGACATGTTGTTTAACCTATGTACTGGACATGGCATTCTATATGTTACTCTGAAATCTCTTTGCACTACTTCTGCTTCTAATGATGGTGCCATCTTGTATTTTTGTTTCATAATGTAGCAGCAATGTTGTAATTGGACGTATTAAGATAATTGACGTAATGTAACCATTTTGGATTTGGGGATGATCAACAATATTATGACTAAGTCTTGCAACTAAAATATTTTAAATTGAAAGAGTTTGCTAGTTGGTCTCTCTTGACGTTCTTTTCTTTTTGATATTATTGGACACAAGTTACTGATACTTATGGGTCCAATCTGTTATGATCCACTTCCATCAAGATACAAATTTAGCATAAGATTGTTGTTGCTATTGGGCACTCTTGGTGGACCTGCTTCTGCTTGTGCTCTATGATCATTGTCTAGCTGAAGGTAATTGATATGTTGTGGCCAGCTAATACTTAGGGGATTGCTGTACTTTAGTTAGTAAATATGCTTTAATGTTTTGCAGTTGTTTTGTGACAGTAATTTCTATAATTATAAAAAATGGCATGCCGGCTGAGTTCTCTGGTGGTTGACTTTTTATATCCCTCTATCAAACAAACTATGGCACTCTATAATTTTTCAAATAGTTGGGATTTTGGGTTATTGATATCTTGATGTGTACAAATTGAATAAAGCTTCAGATTTTGGTTTTTCTGGTGCAAATGCACCTAATAGAGCTGTGTGAATTTCTGGTATTTTTATGTTTCTAAGATTTAGCATTATTAAATCTTCTGTCATAGTACTGTGGCTGTGCTTCTTACTAGTTGAACTACCTGTACTTGCTTTGAAAGAGAATTAGGAGCTTCTTTTTTAATACATGTATATGTGTTATTTCTTAAGTAATCTGATTGTAAATGCAGGATAATGTCCAATCTCAATCTGGAATTTTCTGCATATATCGAATGCAAATTCATTGTTAGTTGTTGGCGGACTATGATAGTTCTACAGGTTGCATGTTGAATTTGAAGAATGGCTTTTGTAACAGGAGGGTAGTTTTCTTGTGTATACTATATCTTATAAGGTAAAGGGTACTGTTGCCATACAGAAAGGACAGAAGGAAGGAAAGTAATACACAATAGAAGGCTTTATGGAGTGGACACCCTTCACATTGTCTGAGACTCTGAAATATAGTAAAACATAGAATTGATCAAATCAAGGGAAGACCTTTTGTTACAACAAATTCTAAGTTTCTGGTGTATGGGTTTGGTGGATATTCTATGTTGTTCCTTATTTCTTTTTACACTGGTTGAGTCCACTAGCAGATCAGGGATTATGTGGTCCCTAAACGGTGGTCTGGAGTCTACCGGGACTATCAGCTGGACAGTCTTTAGTTCAAGTGCATTTGTACTTGTAGCTCTCATCCTCTCCACATATCTAATATTTGAGCATTTATCTGCCTATAATCAGCCTGAGGTTTGTTTCCTTATGCTCCTTTACTTTTGGATCTTATCTTTACTATTTATGTAATGCCTTGCTTCCCATTTCTTACTGCTTCTTATAACTATTTCAACTGACTTGGTCATTTTCTCCTCTGTATTACATTTTGCTTTCCTTTTATATTATTTTCTAAATATTTTTTTCTTTTAATTCAGGAGCAGAAGTTTTTGATTGGTCTCATTTTAATGGTTCCTGTTTATTCCTTGGAATCGGTAAGGGATGCTAAGTAAATGAACATAATATCTGCTCTCTTTAAATAGCATCATTCACTTGGGTTCATTAATTCATCATGGTGAAAACCAATGTTATTTATTTATTTATTTTTTTGGTATGGAGTTAAGTAATTTTCCTCAAGCAAATCTTTAATTTTGGCTAAACTTTTTGTTGATATCACATTGGATATGTTGAAACTTACTAATGCATGCTGTTTGGTTAGGTTTTCAGCTTCACTACTATTTACTTGAAGGACTAATTGTACATTTTGATCATTAAAGAATTTATGTGAGTGTCTTTCACAGTCAGACTACAATACTATTTTTCTCTTCATTTTCATCTTTATAAGTTTCTTTCTTTTTCTTTTTAAAAATATTCCATTTTCTAATAGTGACCTACTGATATTTATGATATCTCGTGGATAATTGACACTGAAAAGAAAAACTGCCACCTTCTTACATATATCATATCATACTCAGATTTTGTTCTTGTTTAACTGAGAATATAATTTCAGAAAAGCTTGTGTTATTTTCGAGGAAGGACCATCTATAGTAACTAGTAAGTTGCAACAAACATTAGAATTAATGTTGCCTGCTTTGTGTATATAATCCTGCCTTGGGAGTTTTTCTGTTTGGTTTCTTTTTAACATAATTTTAGTAGTAAATTACTTTGTTTGGTCCTTATTATAAGGCACAATTTAGAAGATAATAGTGATCTTTCTTATAAGGCACTTCACAATTACTATAAAGTATTAATTTTATTTTTCATCTTTTGCCCATATTAAAGATTGTGAAAATGTGTTTCTTGTTGTTGAATAATGAGAAGAAAATTGGAGAAAAAAATGTTCTCTCTCATCTCTTGAACTTTTGATTGTCATTTATCAATTTTATTAGTATCGGTATATAAGTTTTGATATGGAATAATAATATTCACCTCTTCCATGACAATTTAATGATAAGTAAGAAGCTTCCATGACAATTTAATGATAAGTAAGAAGCTTCCATGACAATTTAATGATAAGTAAAAAATTTAAAATTAGTACATCATGATTTTGTTTTATAAAACCAATAAAATTAACTAAAATAACTATTTATATTGAATTTTGTAATTGTGTTATAAGTTTCTTATAATAAGGACTGGAGTGAGTAAAGAATTCTGATGCTTTTATGATGCAGTTTTTGTCACTATTGGATTCCAGTGCAGCATTTAACTGTGAAGTTATTCGGGACTGCTACGAGTCTTTTGCATTATATTGCTTTGAAAGATACTTGATAGCTTGCTTAGGTATGTCATACAGATTTTGTACCTACATGATTTTCATCAGTTGTTTCCTTTATTCATGTATATGTATATATATTTTCCAGAAATACAAAAGTGTAATGATTGAGATATTTTAAGAGATTTTCCTCCCCATTCTTCTCTATTCTGAAGTCTAATTCAAAAAATCAAAATCTATTAAATCTTTTTGAGGCTTGAATGTTTTGATTAAAAGATGTCATACATCTTTGCAACTTCTGAATTATGTTGGATTTGTCATGTCCTTTTAAACAAAAATGTTTATGGATGATTCACTTGCTTGTAGGTGGTGAGGACAAAACAATTCAATTTATGGAAAGTATGAGCCTAACAGACTCCAGCACTCCTCTCCTAAAAGAATCATATGCGTATGGAGTTGTAGAGCATCCATTTCCCTTAAATTGCTTCTTAAGAGACTGGTATCTTGGCCCTGACTTCTATCAATCTGTAAAAATTGGCATCGTACAATATGTATGTTTGATTTTGGTAAATTGTGCTTTTGTTCCACCCCTTTTCTCTCTTTTTGAGAAAGAAGAATCAATGTCTTTTTCTTCTTGTTGACTAAATTCTACATTTCAGATGATAGTGAAAATGATCTGTGCATTGCTGGCAATGATCCTCCAGTCTTTTGGAGTTTATGGAGAGGGGAAGTTTGAATGGAAATATGGGTAAGATTATATTGGCTTGTGTCAATGATATGCATACCATAATTCATTAATATACAATCACAATTTCAACTACAAAGATTATTCTCGATCATAGATAAAATTTCTTGTTTCATTGGGAGTAGAATACAATTGAAAAGATGTGCATTGATTATTTTATTATCTACTATCTATTCCTTCTCATTTATTTTTTAAGAATGAGGCGTATTTTTATGACCCTTGTTGAAGCCCAATTCTCCTATGTGCTTGCAGGTATCCGTACTTGGCATGCATTCTTAATTTTAGTCAGACATGGGCCCTGTATTGCCTAGTACAGTTCTATTCTGTCATTAAAGATAAATTGGAGCCAATCAAACCATTGGCAAAATTTCTAACTTTTAAGTCAATCGTCTTCCTAACATGGTGGCAAGGTTTGGCTGTTGCATTTCTTTTTTCCATGGGAGCATTTAAAGGGTCATTAGCTCAAGAGCTGAAAACACGAATACAAGACTATATTATCTGCATTGAAGTATGGTATTCTTGCTTTTTATAATTTTAATTGTCATTTCTAATATTGCAGTACTAAATTATCTAAATTTCAAGGAGTACTAATGTATGAAATCATCTGCATGCAAGTATACTAAAGAACACTTAAACTTTTATCATCATGTATAATTAACGCATGAAAGCCTAAAATGTAACAGGATCTTATCACAGAGATGGATACAAGAAATTGGGGGTATTTTTCAGCCAATAGGATGTATGAGGTGGACTATTGATTATCTGTATCATATATGAAATCATATGAAGTTACAAAAAGTTGAATGTGTTATATCAATAGCCTCGTGTCCATTTAAAGTGGTCAATATTAGTTCTGTTCACATTCATCTATATACTCCTTACCATAGTGTTTGGTTGGAGGGGTATGGAGGAGAGGGGAGAGGTTGTTTTAAATTTGTCTTGTTTGGTTTAAGTTTTAAGAGGAGGAGGCTAGCAAACTCACTCCTAACCTAATTTTAACTCCCCTCTAATATTGGAGAATTTGGAGAGGAAGGTATGGATTTTAAAACATTTGTAGTATAATGTCTAAAATATTCTTATGTTTTTAAATTTAAAATTATAAGGATATAAAAGTAAATTGATTTTTAAAATCTCTTCCCCTTTATGAGCTAAATAAGAAAAGAGTTACCTTCCTTTTCTTCATCTCAACCAAACAAAATTTCAAACTCCTTCCCTCCTCTCAATTAGAATCTCTCTCCTCCTCTCCTCCCCTCTGAACCAAACAAACCCTACATGTGTGCACGTGTGCACATTAATGATGGCCTAGAGCACTAGACTTCAACTGTTGTGAGTTCTGGGGAGGCACATACATAGATGAAGACTCAATCCAATAGGACTTCGGTAGTATGAAATGCTCATTCTGGTATCTATATATGAAATATTAGGTACTACTGTGTTTATAAATAGATCAATGACTGCTTTGCTTTAAAACCGAGAGAGGTACTCGTTTTAATTTTAAGCTTTGTCAGTCAGCTGTTATATGTGTTGCATGTTAAGCCAGGTTTCTTCTTTATTAAATATGTAATTTGATGATGCTGTTTAAGCTTAAAATTTTAGGAGTGTCATCAGCTTGGAAAACTTTTCAATCATTTGTATAGTTCTTGGTTGGCATTTTTTAATTTGATTCTCCATCTTAAAATTTGTTAACAGATGGGCGTTGCTGCTGTTGTGCACCTTTATGTCTTTCCTGCAGTACCTTACAAAAGAGGAGAAAGGTGTGTCCGTAACGTGGCAGTGATGGCAGACTATGCATCACTAGGGACACCTCCTGATCCTTTTGAGGTTCAAGATTCTGAGCGCTCAACTAGAATGCGGTTGGGTCGGCCTGACCAGGGACAGAGGCGTATGAAATTTACCCATAATGTTCGTGACGTGGTCTTGGGAAGTGGTGAAATCGTGAGATATTAAACACTTGAACGTTTGAAACCTTTGAATTTTCTTGAGTTATCTCTTTGTCAAACTCACCTGTGTTATTTCTACTGTCTTGTTTCAGATTGTTGACGACATGAAATTTACAGTTTCACATGTGGTAGAACCTGTTGAAAGGGGTATTGCAAAGATAAACAAAACCTTCCATGAGATATCAGAAAATGTGAAACGCCATGAAGAGGAGCGGAGGAGAAGCACCAAGGCCAAGGATGACAGTTACGTGGTTCCCCTACGTTCATGGAGAACAGAATTTTCTGATGTTCATGACAGACTTGTGGAAGGAAGTGTCAGTGATAGTGGTTTGCCCAGCAGAAAGAGTCAAAATATTCAATCCAAAGCGTCAGCATCCAGGATGAGAAGATAGTAGTTTTATAGTTGAACAACGTAAAGTTTGCACATACAAAATAGAAAAATCTGATAGATTTTTACGTCAAATTGTAACTCAAAAGGACATAATCTGGTGAGCATTTTAAAAATTTGTATAAATATCTTGTGCCAGTTTCAGTCTTTTTTTTTTTTTTTTTTTT